ATGTTTCTGATGGTGGGGCAATCAGGGAGACTTGGGGAAGATGGTCCTGTTGCCATCATTGGGCCAGGACGAAAATTGGAGTTGACTTAATTCTTTCCCTAACACTGATGTTCATGCTCAGCAACAGGTCTTGTTTGCCCTGTTCTCAAGTATACCCCAAAGCCATGCCTAACCTTATCACCCTCCTGCATGGCTGCAATAGCTGTGTTGGCTTTCTTGATTTTCCTTGGTTCCTGCTACTGTGGACTCTCACTTGGCTCTGTGTGTTACTTTTTAAAAGCAGACATTGTCTTTTATCACTACTTTGCTGAAAATGGCTTCCCTACACTTAGAATAGACCTTAGAACCTTTGCTGTGTCCCTGTCTACCCTAGGTGACAGTCCCTGGCCAGATCTCTGGCTGAGTAAGCCTTCTCACCCTCACTTATGCATCATCCATTCAGTGCAGTGCTCTGTTCTCTATTCTTCAGACTGTCTGACCTCTGTGCCCTCAGTAGTCTGTCTGGGAGGCCCTGCCTCAGATATTGTGTGGCTGGCTTACTAGTGGGCCTATAGCTCTCTGCTCAGTTCATCTTCTCAGTCAGGCAGTGCTATCTGCCCATCCGTCAATAGTTCACCCCGCTGGTCACCGCTCTCCTGGTTCCTTTCTGGGCTCCTGGGCTCTATGCTGCAAACATTCTCATCCTCTGTCTCCCAGAGTGGCTCAGTTGATCCAGCACAGGCTTTATAGACACCGACATGCCTCAGACTTAAAAATTCTGCCTCTGCTTCTCCCTAGTGGAGGGCCTCGGACACGTGTCCTGATCTTGGTGAGTCTCAGTTACTGCAAGAACAAATGGGGATGATAGTACTTAGGGTAAACAGAGATTAGTGAAAGCCTGTTGGCAAAGTCGGTGCCCATGGCTTAGTGCCTAGCGGCACTAGAAGTGTTATTACCCATCATCTACCTGTTCTTTTTGAGCAACCCTTCCCTTAGCCTCAGAATCTCCCTCCTCTCATGTGGTAGCCTTGATGAATGTCCAGGAAAGGAGAGTGGCTTTCTTTGCCCTCCTTTCACATAGATGTGTAGACATCCCCCTTCACATGGAGAGGCCAGCAGTAGCCTTCTTCCACTTCTTTCCTCAGCCTTTCCTCTCCATTACTCCAGGTATCCAGCATTCCATGTTATTGTCATCAATAAGAAAATACCCACTAAATACCCAATATGCTATGGAGTCAATGCTGTGTGGTTGTTAAAAATACTATGCTATGGGCTTGAGAGACTGCTCAGGGGTTTGCTCAGTTGTTACTCTAGCAGAGGACCCAAGGTCAGTTCCCAGCACTTACATGATGGCTAATAACCATTGGTAACTCCTGTTCCAGAGGATCCAATGCCCTCTTCTGGCCTCCATGGGCATTGTACACACATGGTGCTCTTATATACATGCAGGCAAAACACTCATATGCATAAAATAAAAATAAATAAATAAATAAAAATACCATGATGAGGGCTATCAAGATGACTCATCAGGGAAAGATGCTTGCTGCCAAGCCTGATGACCTGAGTTAGCTCCCTGGAAACTACATGGTGGAAGGAAATAACTGGGGTTGAAGTGGGGTGAAGGTAGGGGGTGGAGTTACCCCCCCCACACACCATAAACAAATGTGAAAAAAATGCTGTGCTGAGAGTGTAACTCTTAACCCAGAGGGAGAGTTGAGGAGTGATGGTATTCTCTGCACTGTGAGGGAGACACTGGAAGTGGTGGGCTTGCCCTAGTTGCCCTGGTTCCTTGAATTATGCTTGGGGGTATTGGTGTGAGACAGGATCTTACTGCATAACCCAGGCTGGTCTTGAACTCCTGATCCTCCTGCCTTAGCTTTCAAGGGTCAGGCTTATAAATGTAAGCCATCATGCCTAGCTCAGAACCTTCTGTTAAATCTTTTTTTGAGACAGGATCTCATGTAGCACTGGCTTGCCTTATACTCATTATGTAACTGAACTTATGATCCTTTTGCTTTTCCCAAATACTGGTGTCATAGGTGTGTGCCACCATACCTGGCACTTCTGTTAAAGCTTTGTGGAGCTGCTGCTTTGTTTTCATATCCCCATTGTCTGAGATTACATACTCCTGGAGACAGCCACCTCTCTGGCTCATTCCCAGCACAGCCCCTGAGAATGGTGAGGGCTTGGGCCCAGACTCAGGAGGGACATCCCCAAGCATGGAAGATACCTCCCATGCCCCCATCTTAGAGTGTGTCAGCTTCCTATTCCCAGACACGAGGGTAGATGAGTGTCTACCCTGGCCCCAGGGAGCCTGCCCCACCTCAGACAAAGTCCTAGGCTTAGCTTTTCCCATTAAGGAGAAAATAGCAAGAAAAACAGATGAAAACTGATACCCTGTGTTATAGGGTTGGCTGGGACCTGGTGCTGGAGGAGCACCAGGAAAGCTTTAACCCCAGGGTCTCCAGGAAGTCAAGAAGGATGAGGGATGGAGGGGGAGGAGGCCCCTTTCCAGGTGCCTCCCTCTCTCCCATCTGAGACACTGTCAGTATCCAACTGCCGAGTCTTAGTATGTCCTAAGTGCCTCCATGTGGGTCCTGGTATAGACTCCACCAGTTCTTGGCCTGGGAGGCAACACTAGCCTACCCTCCATTTCTGGGTGGTACCTTCCTTGAACAGGTCCAGCTGTTCCCATTTTAAAGCAAAGGATATTCTTAATCTGCCACCATCTACATGTTAATGACCCAGTCAGCCTGGGCCCTAAAGGAGAGCTGGGCTTGGAGTCAGGAGACCTGAGCAAGTAAATCTCTTAATTCATGCTACAGTGACTCTATTTCATGCTACACTCCTCTTTAGGGTGGTTATAGAGCTCCCCTGAGACCTGACTGTGAAATGGCTTCACAGACTATAAATGGGATATAAAGGAAAGATGTGATGGGAGGTGATGTGGTCCCTTGGTCCAACATTTCTTGCTATGGCTGCAGACCCTCTGGTCCCGGGGAGGTTCACCCTGGGAATCTGGTTCCACCCTCTACTAGATGATAGCCAAGACATTGTCCCATGGCAATCTACCTTTCTGTTGTCTTTCCCTAAAATTCTTGCTCAGAATGTCTTTCCTATATCTGGGAGGCTGTGACGGGGTCCTTGGAGATCGTCAGGAGCCAGACCTGGGAGTGTTGTTTGAATAGCACTTAGGCTGTGTTTGTTGAGCTCCTAGAGGCACTGGGATATTGTAGGTGTGTGTTTGTCTAGGAGCTTGGTGAGGTTAGAGCTCAGACTAGGGAATATTGACACTGTGTTTGCAGAGCATTTGAATATATCTCATTTCATTCTACCCTTGCCCTCTGAAGTAGGGCTCCTTTTACCAAGGAAGAACTGAGTTAGTAAGTTCAGACCTGGTGCCCATACTCAGATCTTCTGACTTCAGAGGATATACTAGCCTAGCCATTCTGATGTAGATAGGAGGGGAGGGAATGGCTCCCACTGCAGCAGGAGAGTGAGGCATAGGGAAAAGCTCAAAGGCCACTTGGTGGTTTGGGAGACAAAAATTCTGCTATCAGGGGATGGTGGTGGTAGGGGTAGGTCTGGGAAGGGACATCTGTTTCCTCCCATCTTCCCAGTTGCCCCCTTCTCATCTCTATAGCTTGTAAGGAGCAGGTGGGCATTGGTGGATGGAGCCCATCATCACTGAACAGGAGAAAGCTGTGAATCCTGAAGGCACAGGACAGAAGGAAACAGAGTCAGAAGCCCTCTTCCACAGCCCAGTGCTGAGGAGCGCACTCCATCCCTTTCAGAAACTGCATTGGAAAAAAACAACTGGGCAAGCTTCGGCTGCTCTGCCAGCTCCTTGGAATAGAGCTAAGCCCAGCTCTTGGGACTCTTTCCAAGGCCAGTGTGTGGGCAGAGGACAATATGGCTGGCTGCTGGCTAGCTTGATTTCAAGGGAAGCGGGAAGCCCCCTGGGATAGTAAAGCTCTCAACCCTGTGGTGGGGCAGGGCTACCACCTCTGTCCTATGGGTAGCCTTGCCTCCTGTGTGATTATCTTCTGTGTCTGCAGACACAGAAAAGGTCAGAAAAACTCTCTCTTGACATCATCCTGCTTGTTTCCTTTAAGGGGCATATCACAGTATAGTGATCTTATCTCCTTACTTTTATGTTATTGGTCTCTTCACTCAACATGTGAACTACATAGAAGCAGAGATCTTTTATCTTATTCACAGCACAGAGATCACTGCTTAGTACAGAAAGCCTTTGATGAATGGTTTGATCCAATCGAGTACACACAATGGGTGAATGAGTGAAAGTATGAAGTGCTAGCAGATGCTCAGAGAACACTGGGCTTTCTTTCCTGAGAACCAGTTCCCCAGTCCCCATTAGTTGAACATTGCCAAGCTGGTCCTTAAGACCAACCTATGCAATGACTGGAAAGGAAATGGGAAGTCAAGGAGGCAGGAGATGGGGTGTTGAGAGCAAAGTGGGTCAGGACTAGAAGAAGGAGGCCTGGTGTGGGCCATGTAGACTCATTCAGCACCTGGCTGTCTGGGGGTGAAGACATGTTAGGAAGCACAGGACAGTGTTGTCAGCTTTCTTGTGCCTTTGGGCAGACTTCATGACCCCTTTCCACTGGTCTGCTCCTCTGTCAAATGGGCTGTCCTTATTCTGCCAATGCATTTACACCTCCCAGAGCTGCCTCAATTCAAAAGCCAGAAACCACGGAGGTCACAGAGGGCACAAGTGATTGAGTTGCACTTGAGTCATTTGCTTAAAACTCTTAAAAGAGGTCCTGTTATTTTATGCTATTTTTATCATTAGTCAGGATTCCCTCCCTGTGCCCCAGGAGAAATGAGCCGGATTTTGCAAACTCTGTCATAAATCCCAGATCCTAAAGATTAGGCCCTTGGACTAATGGTCTTGGAAGGACAGAAGTCTCCTCTTAGAGCTTCCTAGGGGTGGGTGAGCCTCCAAGGGCCCTTATGCAGCTAAGTGGCCACTTCTCACATCTTGCCCTACTCCCCTGCAGGTACAAGACGGTGGTGACTCAGCGGAGGGCAGCTGTGGCCATTGCCGGCTGCTGGATTCTCTCCCTCGTGGTAGGCCTGACACCTATGTTTGGCTGGAACAACCTGAGTGTTGTGGAGCAAGACTGGGTGGCCAACGGCAGCGTGGGGGAGCCTGTGATCAAATGTGAGTTCGAGAAAGTTATCAGCATGGAATACATGGTCTACTTCAACTTCTTCGTCTGGGTGCTGCCACCACTGCTCCTCATGGTCCTCATCTACCTGGAGGTCTTCTACTTGATCCGCAAGCAGCTCAACAAAAAGGTATCAGCCTCCTCTGGTGACCCACAGAAGTACTACGGCAAAGAGCTGAAGATTGCCAAATCACTGGCCCTCATCCTCTTCCTCTTTGCCCTCAGCTGGCTGCCTCTACACATCTTGAACTGCATCACCCTCTTTTGCCCCACCTGCCACAAGCCCAGTATCCTCATCTACATTGCCATCTTCCTCACACATGGCAACTCAGCCATGAACCCCATCGTCTATGCGTTCCGCATCCACAAGTTCCGGGTCACCTTCCTGAAGATTTGGAATGACCATTTCCGCTGCCAGCCCAAGCCTCCCATTGATGACGACCTCCCTGAGGAGAAGGTTGATGACTAGACTGCCTTGTGCTCTCACCAGCCCACAGCCGACAGCTCTGGACCCAGCCTTCATATCCTCGCTGTTCCACTGCTCTTCCTGAGCTTCCCCAGCTGGGCTGTGGGCTGTGGGTGCTACAGGCACTAGGGGATGGGGCTCTGAAGAGATACATGGAATAGGGGCCCTTCCACAAGGATCCAACCACCTTGCACCTTGGAGACCTGGAAGAGGCTTGGGAGGGCAGGCCATGGCAAGGAACGGGGTATCCAGAGGTGAGAGAGGTGTCTTGAGTACCTCCTTTCTGGCTGTCCTGAGTAGTTCAGAGCTTTGGGGCTGTGCAGACCCTGGGGTCCTACTTAACTGTGAAGGAGCCTTTGGGGATAGAATGCTCTGTCTCTTGCATCCAGACAGGGGAGCCTACTATTCTTAGGGGTTGTTGGCCTAAGGGACCAAGTTCAAGGAGAGGTGAAGACCCCCTCAAAGGTAGATGGATGGAGAGAAATGGGAGATGTCCTGGCTTTGCTTTCTCTCCTGTTCTGTAGAAGGTAGCAAGGATTTTGTGACCCAGGCCATACAGGTACTATGATGCCTGCTGCCCTTGCCCTAAAAAGCCTGGTGTTAATCTTGAGAGAGGCAAAAAGAGTAGATCCAGAGATCCTTTCTCACGTTTGCTTTATTTACAGCCCTGGACTCCCAGCGGGTCTCTGAGACCTGGAAATGAGCATGGTGCCGTAGGTACTGGCCTCACACAGCACCAGAGGGCAGTACTGAGCCCTTCTTGCCTTGGACTTCTGGAAGCCTCTGGTGTAACTTTCTGTCATCTGGGCCACCAAATTTCACCAACTCTCAATGACAGATCTGAACTCTCCTGGGTGACACCATTTCTGCTGCTGGTCCTGTGAGAGGAGAGCCCTAGGCAGGCCAGCCCTTGGGTGCATTCTGAGTTTGTGGGGAGGAAGATAAGGAAAGCAGCCAAGAGGATCCGGCTGACTATAGGCACTTGTAGGGGTATAGTAGACCAGGTCAGAGAAGACCACTCTCCTGGGGGCATGAAGGATTGCCTCACCAGCATTTAAACACTTCGGATGCTCCTTCGGGCATTTAGCTTAGTTTTCAGAGGCTTTGTTGCTAATACAGTCTAGGCCTTTAGGGGTCTGGGCTAGGACCACCCCCTGCTGAGCTGGGAGGTCGGGGGTTGTCTGTTTGTTTTTTACCCTGTGTGGGAGGCAAGCAGGGGAGGGTAACAGGTTCTGAGTGTGAATATTGACTCCAGTTCTTGATTTCAGGCTCTTCCCTTGGTCAGAGGTAGGATGTCCCTAGCTCTTAAGGAGGCCCATGTGTCTAATAAAAGACTGTGAACCCCTGTGGAGAGTGGATCACTGACTGTCAGAGGGCAGCTAGACCACCTCAGCTGAGAATATGCAATGGTGATGGTCGGGGAGAAGCTAGGAAAGGAGGTGTGGAGGCAGATGGAGCAAGAAAGTTTCCAGACATGGTGTGTCTGTTGCTATAGTTACACACTTGTGATAGCACATCATGAATCAGACAGCAAGATCCTGAACATATACATGTCCAGAAAATGCCCTGTGTCATCATGGGACCCTTCCTTTTGGTACTTTCCTCATGGTGACATAGTCTCTTCTCACTTACCAGAACATTTGCTGCCACAGAAGCCCCGTGCTGTAACACCACACACCTTTATTTGAATACTTCTCACTCAGTGCACAACTCCGCAGGGGCCACCAGTCTCTGCATCTTTGGGGCCCTCTTGCACCCACAAGGTCTGGCCTGGGGCCTGCCAAGCCCACTCCTGGGTCTGAACTCCAGACTCTGATGGAGAGAAGTCATCAGGTACCAGAGGCAGTTCTTTAGCTGTTCCTATGGAAATGCAGGTCTTGAGTATCCATGGAGACATTTTGGGTTGAGGGGACTTGATCATCAGGCCTGTAGGACCCGGCAGAGAATGTACTTCTGAGCCCTGGTGTGTGACCAAGCTGCCAGAAGAGATGGTAGGGGACAGGGGTAGAGAGCTACCTCTTTCCATCACTGTCCTTCCCTAGGCTCAATGCCCAGTGCTGAGCTTTGCCCACTGAAGATCTAGAAACTTCCTAGTTTATCCAGAATCTCAGAACCACCAGGTGAGGGAGACAAGGCAGGGGCTGTGTCCCTACTTTTCTAATGAAGAAATAGGTTCAAAGAGAATGCCCATGTTTACAGTCACTCAAAGCTAGGAATAGATCCCTGTCTTGTGACCACCAAGCACACCACTCCCTTCCAGGCCTTACCATCATGGCCCAGCCCTGCGATGTCTTTATGTGACTTAACATGCATGTTAGTGGCCTACAACTACAAAACTGTACTTAGATTTGTCTACTGCCTTCCCTCCCCATTCCACCCCTCTGCTCCCAGCCTGCTTTCTGCTACTGTGCTCCCACTAGAGGTAGCTAAGGGGTGTTCAGCCATTTACCTGTCTCCTTATCTAGTCTCTGCCCATGATGCTCTTCAGTGTGTGGCAGAGGCTGAAAGAGATCCTATAGGTTAGAGCTTGGGGGAAGACGGGAGAGAGCAGGGGGGGTTCAAGTCAAATGATCCTTTACCTTCCCACCTACCCCCAGCCCTCCATGGGAACATCTTCCCACTTGGAAAGTCATTCACATAAGTTGCCCTCAATTCTCCCTACCCCTCATCTCCTGCTTCAGTTTTCAACTCTCAATTACATCTAGTCCAGCTCCAGAGAGGGGGTTCTCTCTGCCCACCCATGGCAAGGCACTATGGAGCAACCCTGCTCACACCCCTACCTTTGACCTCCAGCCGGCAATCCACAGAGGCCTCCCCTAGCACATTGATGGCCTTGCAGGTGTAGACCCCAGAATCAAAGGGGCTGGGCTTCCGGATCTCCAGGGTACAGACCCCTTGCTCAGAAACAGCACGGTACTTGGGGTCGCCCTGGATGTCCATCTTGTTTTTCATCCAGATGATCTTGGGCTGGAGGCATGGTCAGATGAAGGGTGGTGAAGTTATGGACCAGGACTGGCTCTTATGGGACATTCTCAACTCTGCTGCCTCTACCTGTCCCCACTGGCCTGGGGCCCCTTACCTTAGGTGATGCTCGAACGCTGCAGAACAGCTGAGTACTGTAGCCAGGGGTAGAGGTGTGGTCAGCCAGGGGCTGGGTGAATGAGGGGGCTTCTGAGAAGTCTCGCTCAATGAACCCTTTAGGTTTGGCAGCAATATCTGGGTTCATGGGAGAATTAAAGATTATATGAGCAAAGGAGGCTTCAGAAGACTGACCTCAACCCTAAACTTTGGAAAGCCTGGCTTGGGTCAATGTGTGGAAAGTTGGAGAATGTCAGAGACCACAGAAAGCATAGCTGAGCACAGCTGAGACAGGTCAGGGGTGAGCAGTGAGGAGCAGAGCTACAGAGGAGTAAGGCAGAAGCTGGATTCCAAATTTCATTTCTGTGTTTGAGACCTGACCAGTTTTAAACAGAGAATTCTTACTACTGTGCTACTCCGGCTGATGTTAAAGAGTGTGGTTTCTAGAGCTGGCAAGATGCTCAGTGAGTAAGGGTTCTTGCCACCAAGGTTGACAACCTGAATTCAGTCTCTGGGACCCACATGGTAGAAGGCGAGAACTGACTCCCACAAGCTGTCTTCTGACCTCCACATGTGTGTCATGGAATGTGTGTACGTGCGCATGCGCACACAAATAAATGCAATTTAAAAAATAATAACAAAAAACGCTTCCAGGGTCAGTATGAGGGAGGGCCTAGGGCAGTCAGGGGGACAAGGAGGAGGCCTGAAGTTTAACATTTGGCCCAGAGAGTAAGGCGCACTGGAAAGTAACTACCGCACTTCTCTCACCCGTCTTTGTGGTGTTCTCTTTAGGTGGAGTAGTCTCTGCTTTTAAAGACTCACGAGTCAACCTGTCATGTATCCTTCAGGGTTGGCCTTCAGGAGAGGCCCTGGGCACACTGCACACATGCTCCAGTGATTGCTGGGATGTTAGCAGCTGCAGTCATCTTTAGAACAAGCACACAGTCTCCTGAGGGGCACTGCTCATTTGCATGGCTTTGCTCTGATGTTTGCTAAGATCAATCAGCCAAACTGGTTATTTACAGTCACTCCGCATCCGTGTGTGTATACACACTTGCACATATGCTCACACATAGCTATGGAGTGGGAGGAGGGCAGCAAATGTTCCAGGAGCAGTGACTGAGGAGGAGAAACTCAGGGAGGCATGTAGGGACACTGAGAAGACCATGGAGACAGACGTTGGTTCACTGTCCCTGATTCAGTTTCCTGTCCGAGCTCAAACCCACCTACCTGTCTTCCGGATGTGAGCCAGCTCCTTGGTGGTGATGGCTGAGTCACTGAGGCCACACAGGTTTTCTGAGAAGACCCGGAAGGAGTAGGAATTGCCAATGATGAGATCGGAGATGGTGCAGGTGGTGGGATGGTAGCGTTCCAACACTGTGAACCATTGCTGCATGGACCTCGGCTGGGTCACCCTCAGCTCTTACCCAGTTCTTGCCCTTCCTGCTTACCCTGAAGCTCCCTCTGGGGACTCATTTCATGCCCCAGCCTTGAGAGGCTGAACCATCCAGCTTTGGGCATGAGGGGCTTAGAAGTGGCAGAAGGGCCTCCTGGGTCACTCTCCTGGGTGCTCTGGTCCTCAGGATTCTAGAGCCTCACTACTCAAAATGTGACTGGCAGATGTGAAACCTCAAATCACCTAGACAGTCCCAGCCCCCAGCCCCAACTTCCTGAATCAGAATCTACATTTAGCAGATTCCCAAATGATTTATTTAGATAACAAGACAGTTCCAGAGCAACCCAGTGCCATGCACCCTGCAGATTGAGGTATAGCCTGCAGAGGCTTGCCCAGGACCACACAAGGAGTCAGCACTAGTTGGACTACATTTCCACCCAAAGCCTCTTAGTGGGATGACCACTTCCTCCCCACCTCCATTGTGCCCCAGCCAGCCTCACCCCTGTCTTCTTGTCTGCCTTCTGCACTGTATATCCCAGGAGCTCTGTGTTGCCTGTGTCCTGGGGTGGAGTCCACTCAAGGGCAGCATTACAACCCCAGACATCCAATATCTTGATACTGCTTGGGGGTCCAGGCTTCTCTGTAGGACCATATTGTGAAAGAAAGTGAAGGAATGTTGGCCTGCCACAAAGTTCCCATGCCCAAGACTTGGCACTTGTCATGCTTCCTTAGCCCACCCTCACCCTCCATCAGCTCTGGGAGAGGAGGTGGGGGACAAGGGATCTGAAACCCTGGTGAGGCAGCTCCCTTTCCCCTGGCCATGTACCAATCACCAGGATGTCAATGGTGGCCTTGGCTTCCAAGCCTTCCAGATGCACAGTGAGCTCATAGTGGCCTGAGTCTGAGCGCTGAGCCGAACGGATGAAGAGGATGGTGTCCTGGTCCCCGCTGCGCACATTCACCCGCTGGGTATCCAGGGCCTGGCCATTGTGGGTCCAAGTGGCCTGTGGCTTAGGCTTCGCCTGATAGAGAAGGACCCTTGGAGCAAGTGCAGAAGAGTGCTAGCACCCCATAGCTGCCACTCTAGTTGTGACTGGGGAAACCTGCCTTGTTGGCCCTACATTATTGCCAGAGCCATGTCTGCTAGTATTTGGCCTGTCATGGGTGCTACCTGCCTATCCACAGCAGGACAATCACAGTGCATAACCGGAAGGATGAGGCCCTCTGTATGGGTCCCAGACAGACCCCTGAGGGGATCCTGGCATTTCCTGAATTCCCCTGGCTTTCTTCCAGGTAAGGCATACCTACCTGGAAGGGGATTTGCAGGTTGACTGGCTCTCCCACCTGGCGGATGTAGGTCTGACGGAGGTGGCGGGGAACACGGATCTTGGGGGCTTCTGCATGAAAGCAAGTGCCTAGACTTAGCAGTGGAATAGCTCAGAGGGGCTTCTGAGGCCAGAGAAGGAGGCAGTAAGAGAGGTTTCTGACCAGGCAGAATGGTTTCTAGTGTATTCCCACTAGGTTGGGCTGCCTCTTTGCTGGGAGGGCAAAGCTCTCACTGCTCAGATGGAGGGGCCCAAATCCCTGAAGCCCTTGGAGAGCTGAGAGGCTCCAGCGAGGTCAGGGCCTCTGCGGTGTAAACTGGTTGGCATCTCGGGCACTCCCTTGGCACCTCAACCTTGCCAGACTGGGATTTGCCCCTTGGCCCAGGCATTCTCAAGCTCCAGATGGGCCCAACTGGCTCTCTGTCTCCCCCTAGAGGGAGGCAGCCTCTGCACCTGTCAGCCTGGGTGCCTGGAGAGGGAAACAGTGTATGCACACCCTACAAGCCCAGGACTTTCAGAGAATGAGATATCTGGCTGACCCAGGCTTCTGCCTCTAGGCCCCATGGGGAGGATTAGGATCTGTCTTTGCTTAATTTAGACCATAGTAGGTATGCCTCTTCCCCAGTCAGCCCTCTTGGTATTCCATTGTCATGGTGGCAAGTCCTTCCCGAAGTCTGTGGTCAGTCTCCCACTCTGGTAGGGAACTGCTTTCCTGACCATGGCCTAATCACATGCCACTGCACATTCCAAGGGAAACTGCAGCAGCTGTTGTTACTGTCCTAGGGGGATGGTGCTAGGGCTGGGACGAAGCCTCCTCAGCAACAAACAGGTGGCAGCAGTTGGTCAGTGGCATGTAGGAGGAGACAGTGAGAAGGAACACTGTGTCTCCAAGGATTAGCTGAGCAGGCACTTGGCTTGGGAGCATCAAGGCTTGGAATGCTCCAGGGAGCCAGGAATGCCTGGCAGCTCCAGGTGGCTGGGAAGGGACAGCTGAGTGGCTGAGGATCCTGGACCTCCACTCTACCTTGCCCTGTCCTGAGAGGTCCGGCTGTTCCTCACTTATTCATGGCCTCCTCCCTCTTTTCTCTCCAGGAAATCCCCTTCTCTCCTGCCAGAGGAATTTTAATGGAGAGGTGGGTGCTGAGTCTGATTTGTTCCTTCAACACTAGGCCTCAGAGGCATCTCATAGTCTGAGCTCCTTGGGGCCATGAGGGAAAGTTGAGACTCTCCCAACCAGGAGGACTTCCTGGCACCTCTAGACTGGGGTCAGCATGACCATCTTGCAGTTGCCACATGGGGCCATCTCACCCAGACTCAAAGGCTGGTAATGTCTTAGGATTTTGAAAACCCCCAAAACAGATGTTTAGCAGTGTGGTGGTCATGAACAGCCTTGTGTGGGCATTAGAATCTGGGATCACTACTGAGAGACTAGGTGACTTTGTGGGAGTCCCTGGGCCCTTTGGGATTTGCCTGGTTTAGGCATATAACAGTCTATGGTTCTGAGCTCCCCTGTGTGTTTCTTTAATCCAAACTTGACTCCTCCTATGACTGTAATACCCTCTCTTCCTAGGTGCCTAGAACTGTAGGGTTCTGCCTCCAGCCTCCACTAGTAAACACCCATCTCCCAGTGGAGGAACAAGAAGGAAGATGAAGGGCCTCAGACCACCTGCTTGCCTGTGTCTCTCTTCACCCTGGGGCCCTGTGCTGTCCCCAGACACCTAAGATCAGACCAAATGACTCACTGTCATTAACAGTCTGAAACCTGATCAGCTGTGGGAGGGGCTAATGTACCCTGCAAATAGAATATTAGCAACAGGGACAGCAGCTGGCCTCTAGGTCCGCAGAGAGATACTGCCCTTTGGGGATGGAGAAGACTTCATGGGCCTTGTAGAGCTCCTTCTTCCTACTGGGGCCAGAGTAGACCAGGGGGTAAGCAGGCCTTCTCTATGTTCTAGAACCAATGAAGAACTTGGAGCCCAAGCATTAGGAAATACAAAACATACACACACACACACACACACACACACACACACACACACACACAGACAAGAGGTGGGGGACAGGGCTCTGACTAAGTGGTTAAA